ATGATATCGTTCGACTTTTATTATATCATTATGATAGGCTACAAATAGCGTCGAATGCCTCTGCCCAAACCTTTTAGCCAAATTAATTGCCAATGGCATTTGGCCAGACAGCTGCAAAGTCTGCTTTATGAACGCCCATCATAAATTAACGTGGAATATTTTGCGTGACGTTGGCAAAAAACCAAAAAAAAAAAAAAAAAAAAAGAAACCTTGTCGCACTTTGATTACTTGCTGTGTTGCCCCAAAAGTGGGGTAGCGCGGGGCGGCTATGCAAATCTTGACTAGTAGCTGCCGCCGCGGCAACTAAATGAACATTGCGATTGCCCCTGTGGCTGCCCCTGCGCCAGTGCCTGTGCCTTCAGCTCGGAAATTGTTTAACTTCATCAGGCGAGGCAAAGATGTGGCAACAAGAGCTGAATGTATTATATATCTAGCCTATGTGTGTCTGTGTTCGTGTGTGTGTGTGTATGTGTGGCAAGTCTGTTGCTGGCATCGTATCTGCCCGGCAGTTACTTTACCTCTACAGTGCCTCATTCTTCTCTGGCTTTTGTGCCCTCTACTGCAACATAAAACCAAAAGTATGCTGCAGCTAAAAGGCCCCGAGGACAACAGACCAAAGTACTTGAACAGCGCGCTGAGGTTGCAAAAGATTCAGTAGAGTGGGGCGAGAAACGGGCGCGGGCTGCCAGAAACAAGCAAAAATACTCTAGAGACAGTTTTAACTGAGAGTTTGCCAGTGCCTAAGTTTTTATCATATAAAAGTGTTAAAGTCTTGAATTAAAGACTAAGATTTTGTTAGGCAATTAACATTTTTATTGAAGTAACTTCAAATGTTGTCAATTTCACAGCAAAGGCAACAAATTATGTAAATAACATGCTGTTAAATTGGCGCTGTTAATAACTGACAGTTGCTTACCATGGAACACGAACTATTTTCAAACCTTTTTTAAGTAAATACTTTGCACATATAGAGCTATATATTTACATAACAGCTTCTTAACATAGCACTAAGATGTACAGTGATACAGTTTTTATCGCTGTTAACTAGATGTTGTTACAGAAACTGGCGCATATCTTTGATAACAGCTGCTTTACATACTCTGCTCAGGTAAAGCCTCAGCTGTTGCCCTTTTCGTAGCGCTGTTTATAAAAGCACGCCCCAACTACTTAAAAGTTGTTTCTAAAAACACAAACTAAATTCCATATACCCCATTTCATGGAACTTTTTTATGCAGAGTATGCGAATGTCTTGTCCCAAGACAAACTGAAGTGATTTGCATTATTTGCTGTTGTGGTCGGGGCTGCCGCATTTATTGCTGTTACGGTAATCTGAAACAAACACAACTCAAATTGAAATGTAGAAAGTTATGAATGTGAAGATAAACATAATTTGGGCACAGCCCAGCACACACAATTTGGCTGTAAATAATTAAAGACCACAGAGACCCAGAGGTCTGATCAAAACCAGCTATCGAATATGAATGGAATAAGCAATCGATAAATCGAATTAAGAAGCTGCTGCACACATTACAACAACTTCAAGCCTAACATTGCTTTTTTTGGGGCGTAACCAAAAGTCGTAGAAATTTGTGTTAATTGCTGTCAAGTGACAATTGAACGATCTCTCATGCATGTGAGTGCATGCAATGCAGGTAAATGACTTGATTGCAATGATTATGCCCGATGCTGCTGCTGCTGCTGCTGCTGTTGCTGTTGCTGGAACTGCAACTGCAACTGCGACCGGAGTCCGCACTTGATTAATTGACGCCCCGACAGCCAACAGCAGCGGCAGGCGGCAAGCGGCAGGCGGCAAGCGGCAGGCGGCGCAACGACTGACGCTTGATTGACTCGAACGTGGCCCGGAGCCGGGGTCTGGGCCATTCGAACCTTTTGCAGCTAAAAGTTAACAAGTTTTTGCCGTTCCACTTGACTGCAAAATGCAGCGAATGAAGACGCAAACGGCAACGCAATCCAATAGAGAGACCAGAGACCATGGACTGGAGACCAGAGAGCATGACTCTTGGGCACAGCTTCGCTTCTCTTGGCCGGGGCCATGCCAAATGCGGCGCACAGTGTTTTATTTTTGGTGTGTGTGTGTGTGTGTGTGTGTGTGTGTGTGTGTTTGTGTGTTGATGGCTAGCCAGGCCTTTATCTAGTTGAGTCCATCTAGGCGAAGCTGTTCGTCTGTCCACAACTGTCCGACACAGACAACAACGACGAGGACGACGACGACGGCCAAGCGTTTGCCTTCCTATCAGCCATGTCTATCTGAGCTGTGGCACTCGCTCTGGCTGCCTCTCTCTCTCTCCTTCTCTCTCCCTCTTTCTCTCTCTCTCTCTCTCTCTCTCTCTCAATGTTGCTCTATGCTCGTATATTTGTCCATTGAAGCATGCAATTGATTGCTGCAACAACAACAAAAGCAACAACAACTAGTCAGCCCGGCTTCCATCTCTGGGTTTTGAGTCTGTGCCCGCTGCGCTTTAATTGCCTTTTCATTGCGGGCCGTCGGCCGTTTGGACATTGGTTTTGGCCAAATACCCTGGACCCCGGCCCCTGTCCGGCTCCGGTCTCGATCTCGGTCCCGGTCTAGGCATCGTCAACAGACTGATGGCCCGCCAGCCAGGCGGACTGTGTAATTTGTGGTTGTTGTTCTCAGTTAATGCATTACATGAATTTTAACAAGCTTTGCAGTCTGCCTCCCCCTTCCCCCTCCTCCACCACACGCACTCTGTTGTTTATTTGAGCCGCATCGTTATTGTCTGATATGCAAAGCTCTTTGCTCTCCAAATTGATTTTATTTGCAAATACGCAACAGTGTTGCAAACTGTTGTGTCAGTGTGCAGTGTTGTTAAAGTCGTTGCTGTCAATAATTACATGTCTTTGTTTTGTGCAACAAAGAGTTGTGGAAATCTAATGAAGGGCTTTAATATTGAATGCAATCCTTGTAGTTGTGCACTATAATTTTCGACCAGAGGACGCTTTGGAAGCTAAATGATATATCTGGTATATATGTTACCTATATCCAGACAATTATATATAGTTAACATTGCAAAGCAACACATAATCATAATAATTCATATGGTTTAACAGTTTTGTATACCAATTAAATTGTTAGCTGGCCAATTATTCTATACGCCACAACAATTATGGGCACTTGTTCAACACTGTCACAGTTACAAGTCTTCTCCCAACACTAACTGGCCGAATCAGAAATTCTGTCAAACTGTTACTCGCTGTCGTATAACTAGTTTTTCATTTATATTTGACACATGCCAACACGTTTGCATTCAGCGCACACACTTCGTTGCCTATAAACCCACCCCGCGCTCCCCGTCATGCTCCTCTTACTGCCCCTTTGCTGCTGTTGCGGTGTTAGCCAAACTAATTGGCTGCGTTTTTGGTTAATTAGCGCAGTTTCGACTGCCACTAGGCAACGTTTCCGTTGACGTTGCCGTTGCCGTAGCCGTTGCCATTGCTATCGTCGTTTTGGAGCACTGAAATCTCGCACACGCGGTTTTATTGCCACTCAAATTGGCAGGCGAAAACTTTAGCAGCGGCAACAATTTTGTCTGCATTAAAGCGTTGTAATTATTTTATGCCAGATAACAATTTGATATTGTCAGGCGCTGTAAAATGTGTCCATGTTCGCTGCTAACTTGGCCAATGCACTGCTGCCAGGGGCGGCAACTGCAACTGCAATAGCGACTGTCACTGCCACTGCACATGCGTGTCTATGCAAATTGTCCAAATGCAACCAGGCCACATTAGACTGAACCTCGACAGACAAAAAATGTGTGCCTGAAGTGCGAAGGCAAGCAAGAAAGTCAACATGGAGCCCAGTGTTGATAAGCGAGGTATAAGTGCTGTCATTTTCTGTTAATGTGGCCATTGTCTAAAACGTGACCAGTGTTGGTAAATGCTGTAGACGTAACTTCTGCTTTGAGCTCCACGCTAGCAAGTGTTGCAAAGTAAAATAACTGAATATGACGAGCAGTGTTGGTAAAAGTAGCTTACTGATTGGTTAATTTTTAGTCAATGTGACCATGGAAGATAGTTTGAGGCAATAGAAAAGTGAAAAAGTGTTGCTGATGTTGCTTTAAGCAAAGCTGGTGAGCTGCATAAAGCATAAGCATAAAAAACAGATTTGATAAAGGTAGATGAAAATAGAGCTCAAAGTCACCATGCCGGACATATATAAATCATCTTAAAGCAAACTCACAGCTCATTAAAACCGAACTAATTCAAATTCCAAACGTTTTTGGCCCACTCTAATGCCGCGCCAAACAGTAAAACGGCATTCTCCATGCGCTCATATGAATAACAGCGCATGCAGCAAACACTGTGGCGACTGCCAATGTGCCTGTCAACAACTGACAGCCGCAGCGGGCTGTAGCAACAACAACAACAACAGCAGCAACAACAAGACGCAACAAACTCAACTTAGTAGCAGCAACTGCAGGAACTGCAACAACTGCAGCTCGAACAGCAGCAGCAACTGGGTCCTCGTCATCGCTTTAACAATTTGCAATAAATTAGCCAGCGACTGCGTCGAGTTTTCACTTGAAATGCGATTCGAATTGCATTTGCACGGCGACATTTTGTCAGACTTTTCTTGTTTATTTTCCTGCTGTATACATACATATATTTTTTAGCTTTACCGTTACCCAGTTTTCGCCACACATAGTCGCAATTTAAGCGTCTGTCTGACAGTTAACACTTTTTACCACAACTATTTCGAGCATGTCTTGACAATTTCACACTCGATCTAACCGTTGAAGTTGCTTACAACTGGCGGCAACAGCTGCTGCAAACTAATTTCTTTACCTGGCTGCCACATTTTTTGCCTGGCCCTTTCACACAGGTAGCCTGACGTTGGCAATTCTTCACGAAACTCACCTGGTGGAATGTGCCACAATTGCGCACAGCAGGCGATTCGTCACGCCCGCAAATAAATCCTTTGAGCTGATCCAAAAGGATGCTAAATTAGTGGAAACTAGGAGCTTTATTCCTGTTGCTTTTGCATCTAAATATTGGCCTCTTTTATTTACCAAACTACTAATTTTCAATTAACTTTTCACTTGACTTCACCTTTTTCTCTCAATCAAAGACATTTTGTTTCGTGCTTAACTTGGCTATCAACTCAATGCTCCAGTCCAGCACGCCGGTCATCCTGAATATGATCTTGTAATAGCCCTCGGATGCTATTTCGGGCATACCCTCGCCACTGATCACACACTTCCCCAGTTTGTAGATGCTTCTGGGCCAGGGATCAACGGTGTCGGGCTGTGGTAGATTCGAGCAGTGGCCGAGATTTTTAAAAGTTATGTCTTTGTAGTAGAAAGCGGTATACTTTTTATACGACTGCTTTGGTATAGACCACGGCAGTAGAACATATTCATCGGGGTTGCCCGAAGTGCTGCGATAGGACACAGCCTCCAACTGTGAGCATATCAGACTAATTTTTGAGAACACATTTTGATATTGTCACCCACAGTTGTGGTCTCATCCGTATCGTAGTTCCAATCCAATGTGGCCGTTATGGCATATTTCCGGGAGCCACGCGTTCCGTTATTGCCACAATATTCATTTTCCTTGGATCCGACGTTTGGACCTTAAAAGACAGCGGCTTGTACTCCCAGTTCCGCTATCATTGACATTCTCCTGTTTGTACTTTGCTTTGATAGGACTTGTTAACAAGCGTTCAATGTCCGCATGACAGTCGGGTTAATTGTATACAAATTTCATGTTAACTATTTGTTAACAACATTGACAAAGAAGACGAGGAAGTTTTGTTGGTTGTTATAATTAAATATAAAATTATAATATTTTGTTTGCATAGAAATGTAAATATATATATATGTTCATGCACATATAATTATGTTACTATATAAAATTTGTATAATTTTATAATAATTCACAAAGTAAAAGCCTATACATATTTATCCATATATTTATATGAGGAACGAGAACAGAGCTCCAGTCAATCGTGCTGGCAACTGTAGAATTAACCTTACTGTTGACCTCGAGCGCGTTCTCGGGCACATGAAGGTGCGGGACCAGAAGTAGTTCCAGCTCGAACGTCTTCTTAGGCCAGGTATTTGCATTGACCAGCTGCGGTAGTTGGGGCCAGGATATGAGAAGCGCCTGTAACAGCCCATTGCGATCGTCCGAGATATGTTCCTCAGATAATAGCCCTGGCACTGAGCTGGATACGTTGTATAATATTCGCCGCAGCCCAGGTTCTCTATTTGCGCCACAAGATTCAGTTTAGCCGGATTCGTAGTTCGAAATGCCACCAACGTGGACTCGTAGCCGTAATCCCAGTTGCACTGCCAAAATAATAATTATCAAATAATAATTTGTTCGCCATAAATCAGACTCTCCGCTTACATAGCTCGCACAGCCATTCAGCAACAGCACAAATGTGACTATACTTGCAGAAGCGGACATCAACGAATGGCTAAACATTTTCAACATTGAACTAAATACCAGACTATTCGTGCCTTATATAGGGTAGGTCAGGGCATCAGTTAAGCTCTGTATACTAGATAGCGTATAGTTCATATCGATCTTTGCAATTGTTTTAACATGTTTTTTCAACAAGTGCCAAGCGCAATTTGTGCATGACAGCCATCAGATTGGGCTAATTGTCAGCTATATAATTGCGAATTCATTTTAATAACCGGTAGTTCATTAAAATATGAATGGGCGGGTAAATTGTACTTGTGAATTCCCAATGTCATAAATATACTATATATATATATATAGACGCCTGATCATGTCAACAGCGGGTAGAGTGAGTAGTTCATTTCAATATGTATTCGGTAACTTTCAGTTTTACTGACTCTTAAAATCCACAAAGCGTTTATACCATGAGTTTTTTGACATAGAAGCTTTACCTTCCGAAAGTCAGCTACCTACAAACTCTTTTAAGTCGACTTTATTTTTATTTAAAATACATAAGAATTTACATTGAATATAGCTCAAATTCAGAGAACTATATTATTTACTTTATTAAGAATAATTGTAAACATATTACATAAATAATTAACCCATCATATTACTCTTTGAGATGACCTTAACCACAAGCTCAAAGCCCCACTCGACTTCGCCGGTAACGCTGAATAATATCTTGTAGTAGCCCTCGGGCGCGACTTCGGGCATGCCCTCGCCCGTGAGCACACATTTGACCAGCTTGAGTGTCATTTTGGGAAAGGGTGTCTCAGTGCCGGGCTTTGGCAGATTCGAGCAGGCGCCAAAATTGCCATAGATCACATCCTTGTAATAGTCCTTGATATAATCCTGAAATGGTTGCTTTGGTATGGACCAGGGCATCAGTTGATAGTCATTGCTGCTGCCCGTTTGGCTGCGATAGGCTATGGCCTCTATCTGCGAGAGTGTATACGCTTATTAATCCGATCTATAAGCAATCGATTCCGTAATACCACCCACCATTGTGGTCTCGTCGAATTGGTACTTAATTCCAAATGTGGCTGTTATGTATTTTTCGCGTCGTTCGCGTGCAATTTCGGTCTCAATGGTCAGTTTTGATGCATCCGATGTGCGGCCATTTATGGACAATGGCTCGTAATCCCACTGGCGCTGCATGAGATGAACAGGATATTATAATCCTTGCTATCCTTGAACCTTAACAAACCTTGGCGCTGCAGCTGGCACAGAGCCAAACTATCGCAATAATCCCTGTAAAAGTCCAATGCGAATACATTGTCGATGTGGTCTGCCTCTCCCACATTATTCTGGCCTTATATAGCACAGGTCACTGCATCAGATTGGGTCAAATGCACATAGCTTGTTGCTGTAGATCGATCCAAAAGTATTTGGCAATTACTAGAGTATCCACATGTGCCCCCAATAACGAACATGACATTCAAATCTGATTAGTTCATTGCATGTCAACTACTCTATCGCTTAATTATTATCATAATAATTCGTATTATAATGATAAATTTTTTTATTGTTTGCCCAACAATCCATTTTATATATTTATACCCTGAACCCATTAAAAATGGGTATAAGGGTATATTGTATTTGTGTAAAATCCAAATATATGTAACAGGCAGAAGTAAGCATCTCCGACCCCATAAAGTATATATATTCTTGATCAGCATCAATAGCCGAGTCGATCTAGTCCGTCTGTCCGTCCGTCCTTCCGTCCGTATGTATGAACGCAAGGATCTCAGAACCTATAAAAGCTAGAGACTTGAAATTTCAGATGTAGATGCTCCTAGTTCCCGCGAGTTTGTTTCCGATAATCGATAACTTCTTCCGTTTCCAAGCAATCGATAAAAATCGATATCGATATCCTGTTTTTTCGGCAATTTTGGTAAATAATAAGAGCTAGAGTCACCAAACTTGACATATAGCTTCCAAAATAGAATATATATATATATATATATATTCAAAAAAATTGAAAGAACTTTCAAATTGCAGAGCCTTTGTATATTAAATATAACTTGTGTTTTCTTGGAACCACTCGGATAGATACGGATAGATACTGTTAAAACTAACCTAATTCTTTTGATAAAGTACTCAATATTAATTTTTTTATGCCATGACCTTTCGATTCTCTTTGGGCTTAACCAATTAAGTCATAATCCGTGGTAAGCTTTGCAATAACTGTTAAGCCAGCCTCGACTGGTCCGCTGATTTCGAAGTTGACCTTGTAGTAGCCCTCGGGCAGAACTTCGGGCAATCCATCACCAGTCACAGTGCACTTATCGAAAATGTAGGTGCCTTTGGGCCAGGGGTATGCATTCTCCGGCTTGGCCAAATTCGAGCAGTGCTCCAGATTCTTGTAGATAATGTCCTTGTAATACGATTCGACAATGCTTTTAAATGTCTGCTTCGGTATGTCGAAGGGCAAAAGCTTGTAATCGTCCTCGTTCCCCGAATAGCTGCGATAAATCGTAGCCTCCACCTGGTGGATAAATAGCAATCGCATTTACACTACATTATATTTAGAAGAGCTCTTTCATATTGGAGCACCCACCATAGTCGCATCGTCCATATCGTAATTTACTACCATTTTGCCCGTATAAGCGTATTCCCTGCGTCCGATGCGTTCAATCTTTGCCTCAACTTGCACTTTCGATGCATCCGCCGATCTGACATCTATAGAGATTGGTTCGTAATTCCAATTACGCTGCAAACGGGATCAGTTGGATCCTTTTCTGTATTTAACGCTGCATCGCTTACCCTGGCAGCACCGCCATCAACGAGCAATAGAAGCAATATCCCAGCCACGGAGAGCGAAAGCAGCAGACCCGTATACATTTTCGATGGGGTTTGATTATGGTTGAATCTGCAGTCAGATTATTTATATATGCTGATTTTGTCATGTGTCCCATTCGTTTTGTGGGTTGTGGCCATTAAGCTTGACAGCAATTAAAATTATAAACACATGCCCGGCCTGACAATCAGATCTAATCATATCAACGTATCCACTATTTCTACTATTATTTTTGTTAATATCCAATGATAAGAATAATTCTTAATAATAAAATCATTTAATATTCTATTTATTAATGACATTCCCAGTAGTTTTACAAACTGTAAAATATTACTGGGTGTTCATTTTTATACCCTGAGCTCATTAAAAATCGGTAAAGAGTAGAAGGAAACATCTCCGACCCAAAAAGTATATATATTCTTGATTAGCATCACAAGCCGAGTCGATATAGCCATGCCAGTCTGGTATGTATAAATGCAAGGATCTGAGAACGTATAAGAGCTAGAGAATTGAAATTGAAATTAAAATGCAGGTAGTCCTTGTGCCCGCGGAGAACGAGTTTCTTTCCAATATTCGATAACTTTCCACGTTTCCAATTAATCGATAAAAATCGATATTGAAGTCCTGTCTTTGAACAAATAGTCAACATACTTGACATTTAGCTTCTAGAATAGTATATATATATGTATATATATATATCAATTAACCTTCATTTTAAAGCTATCACCACCGCCCGCCAATTGAAGCCACCATTTTGATGCAATTGACTTATTGAGAACATACAATTATTCTATGGCACACTAAGATCTTTGTTTTGGCTGGCCTCATGTCAGCGGCAGCCGACATTGCAATCATAATATGCAATAGGCAAAAAGGGAAATATCTATTAATTAAATAATAATGTAAACTAATTCATATTATATTCACCTTTAACATTTAACTCTAGTTGCCTTTTGGGAACCCCTAGCTATTATTATTCAAAAGAATCAGCCACAAAAAATATGAAAAAGCTTTCGAATTGCAGAGCTATGGTAAATTTAATATAACTTGCGTTTTCTTGGAACCACTCGGATAGATACGGATAGATATTGTTAAAACTAACTTAAATTTGTTGATTATTATTGAATATTGTTTTTTTATGCCATCACCCTTTTTTTGTCTATTGGTTTTAACCAATCATATCCGTTTTTGTGGTCAGCTTTCCAATGCTTGTAAAGCCCCCCCCGACCTTCCCGCTGACATCGAAGACGATCTTGTAGTAACCCTCGGGCAGAACTTCGGGCATACCATCGCCAGTCACAGTGCACTTGTCAAAAATGTACGTGCCTTTGGGCCAGGGGTATGCATTCTCTGGTTTGGGTATATTTGAGCACTGCTTCAAGTTCGTGTAGATAATGTCCTTGTAATGAGATTCGGCAAACCTTTGAAATGCCTGCTTCGGTATGCAGAAGGGCAAAAGCTTGTAATCGTCCTTGCTGCCCGTAGAGCTGCGATAAGCCGTAACCTCCACCTGGTGAATAAATATGTTTAATATATTATATATATTACATATAAAGAAAATCCTTTCGATTTCGTAGCACCCACCATAGTCGTTTCGTCCATATCGAAATTGATTAACAATTGGGCCGTAAAAGCAAATCCATCACGTCCCATGGGTTCAACCTCAGCCTCAACATTAACTTTTGATGCATCTGTCGTTCTGACAACTAAAGAGATTGGTTCGTAATCCCATTTACGCTGGAAACGGGATACATTTTAATCTTAGCTCCATATTGCATCATGTACTGAACTATCCACAGCTTACCTTGCCAGCACAGCCAGCGACGAGGAATAGAAGTATCCATGCCACAGAGAAAGACAATAACATCGAACGGGTGTACATTTCCAATGTGCGCTGGCTATGTGAGTCCCTTCTCGAGCAGCTACATTTTTCGATTTATATAGATCGGGTTATCGGGCTTTGTCATCAATAGTATATATTTTATTGTAGATTTTTAGCTTTAAGCCAATTAAACGTGTTAACACGAGCTAATTAGTGTAGTTTAAACGACTTTGTATTAGCAATCATTGTGCATAGAATACAGTGTATATAATTAATTTCATATGTTGCTGACAACTAATAATTACAAAGATCAGGTAAAAGACGTAGCGTACATAGAGAACAGACAACGGTCAAATGTTGGCAAATGCCACAAGGAACAGCTATTAAATACTCTGTTCAGTCGTAAATTGTTGAAACGCTGTTAACTCTTAGCTAAGAATTTTCGTTTTTTTATGTTAACATCATAGCCATAACATACGTAAACTTTTGTTTAGCGGTCTGCGATTAAATGGCGTTATGCTTATAACATTTGAAGGCTATGTTAATAATATGCACTCAGTTTTGTATACCATTTTTTATACCCTGAACCCATTAAAAATGGGTATAAGGGTATATTGTATTTGTGCAAAATCCAAATGTATGTAACAGGCAGAAGGAAGCATCTCCGACTCCATAAAGTATATATATTCTTGATCAGCACCAATAGCCGAGTCGATCTAGCCATGTCCGTCTGTCTGTCCGTCCGTCCGTCCGTCTGTCTGTCCGTCCGTCCGTCTGTCTGTCCGTCCGTCTGTCCGTATGTATGAACGCAAGGATCTCAGAACCTATAAGAGCTAGAGACATTTTAGATGTAGGTGCTCCTAGTTCCCGCGCAGATCGAGTTTGTTTCCAATAATCGATAACTTACTCCGTTTCCAAGCAATCGATAAAATTCGATATCGATATCCTGTTTTTTGGGCAATTTTGGTAAATAGTAAGTGCAAGAGTCACCAAACTTGACATATAGCTTCCAAAATAGAATATATATATATGCATTTGATGTTGGAAGAAGAGGGTTCAGGGTATCCCATAGTCGGGAGCTCCCGACTAGAACCTCTTACTTGTTCGGAATTATGTTAGCAACATTTGTGTGTTACGTTAAGATAACATCACATAATCACTACTGCGAAAATCCTATAAACTTGCAAGATGTAAATTAACATGTGTAATGTACTGTTTATTACATTTTATTGCTATTCTCAGAACATTATGCATATGTAATAGATGTGATTAAGATAAACAACTTCATAAATTAAATAAGTAATGACCTTTATAAATATATTTTTGAATATATTATAAAAATATGCGCTGTAAAATTTGAGCTGTTATGGAGATGAAAGTTAACGGCATGCTGTTATTAACATTTGCGACAAACGGGAAATGATAACTTTAAAGCGAGAGACTAGTTCGCATATAAACATACAAACAGAAAGACGAACATGGCCTTATCAACTCGGCTGTTGATGCTGATCTAGAATATATATACTTTTTGGAGTCGAAGATGTCTCCTTCTTATTGGGGATTCGAACCAGCAACCGCCTTTAAAATAATAAATAAAAAAAGAATATAATCCTTATGCAGACCTATTCCATATGTCATATAGGATATTTAGATAATTATTAACAATGTTGACTCGTATGAACACTTCCGTTGACCTATCTAGGATTCGAACCAGCAACCTCCATTAAAAAAGAAAACCATCAGTTTGCAGACTTATTATATATTTTATATGTAACACAATATTTAAACAGATTTAAATAAGTATATTTGTGAATATGATCTGATAGTAATTATTATCCTTAGGCAAAGGATATGCGTCGTCGGGCTGTGTTAGAGTCGAGATATGTTGTATATTCTCATAAACAATAATATAGTTGTAGCCATTAAGCTTGACAATTGCACACACTGTGAACGTGTGCCTAGTTTCCAATCTGATCATTACAGGTATCTATATCCATGAAATGAACAACACATGTTTCATACCATGGCTGTGGATCGTCGGGAGATAAGTCGATCGGTCAGTCAGTCAACTTAAAATTTTAAGCCAATTTCTCTCATATAAATAGTAAGCCATAAATAATTATTATATGTTAACAGAAAACTCTATTTGACTTTTGGGAACCACCAGCTATCATCATCAAAAAAGTTGAAAGAACTTTCAAATTGCAGAGCTTTTGTATATTAAATATAACATGTGTTTTCTTGGAACCACTCGGATAGATACTGTTAAAACTAACCTAATTCTTTTGATAACTGTTCATATAAAGTACTCAATATTGATTTTGCTATGCCATGACCCTTCGGTTGTCTTTGGGCTTAACCAAATTAGTCATAACCCGTGGTCAACTTTGCAATAACTGTTAAGCCAGCCTCGACTGGTCCGCTGATTTCGAAGTTGACCTTGTAGTAGCCCTCGGGCAGAACTTCGGGCAATCCATCACCAGTCACAGTGCACTTATCGAAAATGTAGGTGCCTTTGGGCCAGGGGTATGCATTCTCCGGCTTGGCCAAATTCGAGCAGTGCTCCAGATTCTTGTAGATAATGTCCTTGTAATACGATTCGACAATGCTTTTAAATGTCTGCTTCGGTATGTCGAAGGGCAAAAGCTTGTAATCGTCCTCGTTCCCCGAATAGCTGCGATAAATCGTAGCCTCCACCTGGTGGATAAATAGCAATCGCATTTACACTACATTATATTTAGAAGAGCTCTTTCATATTGGAGCACCCACCATAGTCGCATCGTCCATATCGTAATTTACTACCATTTTGCCCGTATAAGCGTATTCCCTGCGTCCGATGCGTTCAATCTTTGCCTCAACTTGCACTTTCGATGCATCCGCCGATCTGACATCTATAGAGATTGGTTCGTAATTCCAATTACGCTGCAAACGGGATCAGTTGGATCCTTTTCTGTATTTAACTCTGCATCGCTTACCCTGGCAGCACCGCCATCAACGAGCAATAGAAGCAATATCCCAGCCACTGAGAGCGAAGGCAACAGACCCATATACATTTTCGATGGGGTTTGATTATGGTTGAATCTGCAGTCAGATTATTTATATATGCTGATTTTGTCATGTGTCCCATTCGTTTTGTGGGTTGTGGCCATTAAGCTTGACAGCAATTAAAATTATAAACACATGCCCGGCCTGACAATCAGATCTAATCATATCAACGTATCCACTATTTCTACTATTATTTTTGTTAATATCCAATGATAAGAATAATTTTTAATAATCAAATACTGTTATAAGCTTTGAAATATTACTGGGTGTCATTTTTATAACACGTGCAAAGCTGTGGTTGCCAGTGGAACCACATTGCAATCAGTATATGCAATAGGTTAAAAGGGGAATCTCTAATTCCTATTACATGCACCTTTAACACGCAACGTTAGTTGCCTTTGCATAACTACCAGCTATTATTATTGAAGAGAATCAACCACAAAAAATGTGAAAGCACTTTCGTATTGCAGAACTATTGTAAATTTAATATAACTTGTGTTTTCCTGGAACCACTCGGATAGATACGGATAGATAATGTTAAAACTAACTACATTTTTTTTGGTTATTGTTCAATACTGTTTTTTGTATGCCATCACCTTTCGGTTGTCTTTGGGTCTTAGCCAAGCATATCCGTTTTCGTGGTCAGCTTTACAATGGTTGTAAATCCAGCCTCGACCTCCCCGCTGATGGTAAAGATGATCTTGTAGTAGCCTTCGGGTGCAATTTCGGGCATACCATCGCCAGTCGCTGTGCACCTATCGAAAATGGCGGTGCCTTTGGGCCAGGGATATACATTCTCCGGATTGGGTATATTTGAGCAATGCTCCAAGTTCGCGAAGACAATGTCCTTGTAATGGGAATCGGCAAACTTTTTAAATGTCTGCTTCGGTATGCTCCAGGGTAAAAGCTTGTAATCGTCCTCGCTGCCCGTAGAGCTGCGATAAGCCGTAACCTCCACCTGGTGAATAAATATGTTTAATATATTATATATTACATATAAAGAAAATCCTTTCGATTTCGTAGCACCCACCATAGTCGTTTCGTCCATATCGAAATTGATTAAAAAATGGGCCGTAAAAGCAAATCCATCACGTCCCATGGGTTCAACCTCAGCCCCAATATTAATTTTTGATTCATCTGTCGTTCTGGTAACTATAGAGATTGGTTCGTAATCCCAATTACGCTGCGAACGGGATCAGTTTGAATTTTAGCTCCATATCGAATCCTGTCCTGAACAATTCACAGCTTACCTTGCCAGCACAGCCAGCGACGAGGAATAGAAGTATCCATGCCACAGAGAAGGACAATAAAAACGAACTGGTAGTCATTTCCGATGTGCGCTGGCTATGTGAGTCCCTTGTCGAGCAGCTAAATTTTTCGATTTATATAGATCGGGTTATGTCATCAATAGTGTATATTTCATTGTAGATTCTTAGCTTCAAGCCAATTAACCGTGTTAACACGAGCTGCTTTGTGTAGCTTTAACAAGTTTTTATTAGCAATGACTTTTCATCTACGGTACTTGATAAATTCCAAATCTCTATCAATTAACATGCAACATCGTACTCTCTTTACACGGGCAACTCTATGACTCGCAACTGGAGTCCGTATTCACAGATTGCAGTGTATTCACAATAAATTCACATTCATATGTTGCTGACAACGACAAATTACAAAGCCTGAGAAAAATATAGTCATAAATTTATGAATTATCAGCACCGTGAGGGAGCCAAGCGTCGAGTACATAGAGAACAGACAACAGACAAGGGATGGTAAATGCCACAAGGTGCAGCTATGTGATACCCTGTTAAATCGTAAATTATTTAAATGCTTCTAGTTATTGCTTTTTGTTAAGAATTTAGTTCAACTAAAAACCATAAATTGCTTTCCAATTTAGAAAATATCTGCGGGTAAATGGCGCGCTGTTACATAAGCTCTTAATTTTGAATGTTAACAGCTTTTGCTTAACAGTCTGCTATAAAGATCGGTTATGTAATGTTATAAACAATATTTAAACAAGCATTATGTGTTATGTTAAGACAACAGCAACTTAAAAAATGTAAATTAACATGTGGTAATGCCCTGTTTATAACATTATCATGTTATTCCCAGATAAATATGCATAGATCTTAACGATGAAATGTATTTAAAAATGAATAGCTTCTAGGGTTTCAGAAGTTGATATTAATTATTAATAAAATAAGTACATTGTTCAGCACATTGTTTCTGCCAACTATCCAAATCGAACAACCTGCTTGGCCCAGATATACCCTCTTACCGCCTAAACAATGACGAGGTATAATAGCGCTTGCCTGAGCAGGCGGGGGTAACAAAGCGGCAGCCACTTGAGGGTGCCGCAGAACCACTTCAGTTTCGACCATTCACTGATCGATATTGAAAAAAATATAAAAAAAAAAAGTAAAATAAAAATAAAACCAATTGAATGATGTGCCGCAGTGTTGCAACGCACCGCACCCCTTAACCAGGGCCTTTTCCCCCATCCCGCTCACTTTAAGTGGCTCGATCGGCAGTCGAGTGCGTCCATCCGTTCTTATATGAATATATTGTAGGCTGGCTGCAGGCAGGCAGCACTTGGGCCTACCATATTGCAGAGGCGACTGCACTTAATTTAATTGAACCCAGCGACGAGCCGAACCGCAGGCGTGTCTGAGCCACCAACGCAACCAGACACCACCCCCACCACTGTGTGTGTGTGTGTGTGTGTGTGTGTATTGTGAATATGAAATCAAATTATCGCGCATCGAAGCGAATCAAAACAAAATAACAGCCCGCGAAATTATAAACGAAACTCAATTTGTGGCGCGACTTGAACTTGAGAAAGGCGAATGGGGGAAGCAATCGGGCAGATGTGGAGTCCAGTTGGATGCCTCCTTTGGATGCTTTTGCGGTTGGGTTCGCTAATAAAAGCGCAACACTGGCAACTCCCCAGAGGCGTTCGTTTAGCGGCAACCGCGGATCGATCTTATGCCAACCGCAAAGATGATGACGCTGCCTGACGATGTGCTCGTAAATCTTGAACTTAGTTGCGATGTGCCACACTGTGCGCTCTCCCCCTGCTTCGCTTGTGTCCCCCCACGCCCCGCCCGTTTCAGCAGCTATTTCTTGCTGTTTAGTACGTGCGGACAGGCTTTGGGGCGCGCAGAGAGCTCCCCATAACAAGACGCGGCTGCTGTGGCCCATAAAGCAGAAAAACACGCTTGCCCCACCCCGTTCCAATGGCCATCAAAATGGAGAAGAAACTTTTTTTTTATTTTGTAAGTTTTTTTTTTTTGAGGTTTTTTTCAAGTCGAGCCGCAAACCCAATTTAAAACACGACTTCAACGATGAGCGGCGCTGTCTTTTGTGTCTGTGTCTGTGTCTGTGTCAGTGTTGCGGCAACTGGAAACTGCCCCGGCAGCTTCATAGTCTTCTTCTTCTTCTTCGTCTTACAACCTCTTTCTCGCTCTACGTGCCCCACCCTGCCTCACAGTCTCCATTCGAATTCGTGGCTGGGGTATGTTCAACGGCGGCTATTAGTAATTTATTGATTTGTCTAAATTATGTAGTGTTTCAGTCGGCTTGTTTGTTTGTTATGGCTGCAACAGCACTTACCGCGCTTTGGCACGTCGCATGCCGCATGCCACATGCCGCATGCCACACAGCGACCACCCACGCTGCACGTGGCGTTAATCATAGGCGCGGCAATCTGCTCCCTTGGGTGCTGTTTAAGGACGCGTGAAGAGGCCTTCAAGTCAAATCAAATCCATTCACAATAACTGACCATGGTGAACGCAAATGTGTGGTGAAATTAAAAAGTAAACATACAAATCGTGAGTGTAAAGGATGCATAATCCAACACTAGAGGGAGATAAAACTTCAAAAATACACAACACTGACAATGGGGGTGGTAAACAGTGTAAAGTCAAGCAAACACAAAGAAAGTAGCGAAGGGGGATGTACAATTAAAATAAAAATTGGATTATGTTGAAACTGTGTAGAGAAATATCAATGGAAATCAAATACATACATATGAATAAATATGTAATGTTCATTTATAAAATAAATAGAACGTGACAATCAAAATAAAAAATACTTAATAACGGACTATGAAGAACAAGAAGGTTTTGCTAAGGTAGGAAATGGCTGCTATTATGTACTATATATGTACATATGGTTCCCACGAGGCTTACGCCTGTTAAATCATAACTATTACGACAGACTCACACACACACACATACACACACACACTTGGCTTGCGTGGGCTCTCTTTATTAATGGCAATAAAAGCAACAACTCAATTAATTAAATATCCATATTAAAAGGCAGAATTACACGCACACACACAAACAGCAGCAATAACAACAACTTCATAGAAACGGCAAACAAAATAGCAGCCCACATTAAAAAATAAAACTTCATTCACACACACACACATATGTATATGTTGCTTTACTTAATTATTATAAAAAAATGCTAACCACATGCAAATTTAATTGCTTGCCTCGTTTTTTAACTCAGCTTACAAAAAAAAAAAAACACAAAAAACAACAAAATAATCCGCAGACTTTCCAACTCGTTCATACATTAATGCGATGCGTGTGTGTATATGTGTGCGTGTATGTGTGTTCGTATTCCATTCAATGGAAGACAGCGTGGGAGTTATGACGATCATAAAGTGTTGGAAGTTGCGACCCAATTTGTGAAACTGTCATAGATAGTATAACCATAAAGCACAACGAGCTTTCATGCACACACATGCACAGGCTTACGCGCACACATACACACACACACGCACACATACACCCAGTGATAATCCACGTGCGGTGGCTGCTTTTAGTGTCTGACAAAGCGGCTTATGTGGACGCGCAAAGAGGGAACTAAAAACCGATTAGCCGCTGACAACTTGTAAAAGTGTACACACACACACACCCAGATCTATATACCTATATATGTAAATCCATATACTATGTCTGTGTATATTTAAGTACGTCTCAATAAGCAGCCACTAAGAGAGTGAGCAGTTTTAAGTGACAAGTCGACAGCACACAACGACTTAATTACGGGCGCCGCCTGTCACCGATGACGTCACACCCACAACAGCACACTATGCCAAGCATATTGAAATAGTTACAGTAATAATTTCGGTCAATGTGTGGCTTTATGCTTAATGCTCTTCCTAACTGTTTTATGCTAGAGCATAATGTGCGTCTTTCAAAAACGTGAGCCTATTTCGTTGTGTGACAAATAGTTTTTGGTTGGGCGATACAAGTTTTGGTTGGGCCCTATCTTATCAGGAATCGGCTACCGTGTGCTCGGGCAACGGCAACATGTTAACCCAAATCATATTTCAAGCACTTGAGTGGGTTATCAGTAAATTGCGAAAAGTGTTTTAATTGCCAAGTCGTTAAGGTGTCTGCCAAGTGCAGCCCCTATAGCAAATCACAGCTACAAATTCAGACAGAGAGGGAGAGAGAGAGAGAGAGAGCGATAAGAGGGCGGGCAGCGCTAATCGCGAAACTCGGAAAGGCCGCCACACTTGAAAGGCAACAAAATTGTTATTTATGTATTTTATTTTCTTCTCTTCTCTTTTTTTTTTTGTTTGTTACTTTGCATGTTTTATTTATAGCTTTAAAACTTGATGGCATATTGATTGTGTGTTGCTTCTACTCACTCTCTCTCTCTCTCTTTTCTGTCTTTGCAGTTTTGAAAATGAACAGTTTGGCCCGAGGGCCGAGGCCCTGCGTCTCCACCCTGTGTCGTTGCCTGGAAAACGCGACAGTGCGACAGCAGTGTCAAGCTCGCAACAACAACAAGAACAACGATAACAGCAACAAGCAGAAGATCAGCAACACTGGCTGCAGCACATTGAAAAGTACGTTCCTAGGCACTATTGGTAGTACTTTGGGCCCGCACAGTGCGGCCGCCCGATCGTTTGCGTCTGCATGGAGTCAATGAGACGTAACGAGGCAAACACTAGCCACCACCCGAATAAGGTAAGTGGCATGTAGCACCCCAGACAACTTCCCCACCACCCGTCCAAGTAACCCTTGCACTAAATGCGATAAGAGCCGTAATTATTTTATTGTCATCTGCTCCGCTTGGCCTAGCCCTCGAGTGGGGCGGTTCTCAAGTGGCCACTAGACTTTACAGTACGCAGATAAAGCAAAAAGTATGCCGATAAGGTAGAGCAAAAAAAACACAACTACTATTTATAATTGTGTGTGTGTGTGTGTGTGTGTGTGTGTGTGTGTGTGTGTGTGTGTGTGTGTGTGTGTGTGTGTGTGTGTGTGTGTGTGTGTGTGTGTGTGTGTGTGTGTGTGTGTGTGTGTGTGTGTGTGTGTGTGTGTGTGTGTGTGTGTGTGTGTGTGTGTGTGTGTGTGTGTGTGTGTGTGTGTGTGTGTGTGTGTGTGTGTGTGTGTGTGTGTGTGTGTGTGTGTGTGTGTGTGTGTGTGTGTGTGTGTGTGTGTGTGTGTGTGTGTGTGTGTGTGTGTGTGTGTGTGTGTGTGTGTGTGTGTGTGTGTGTGTGTGTGTGTGTGTGTGTGTGTGTGTGTGTGTGTGTGTGTGTGTGTGTTAAGCAAGTTGCTTTGCTTTATGGTGGTAGCGGTAGCTTAAATTTTGTGATGTTTGATTTATTGGTGTGAACAAAATATAATCACAATTACTTAAAGCTGTCTTTCTTTATTATTGAACGAGCATGGAATGGGACAGGGGTAAATTATACGGCAACAACAACAACAACAACAGAGGCAGCAGCATAGGAACTACACATTGTGTATGCCGTTTACCAACACTCGCATTAAAGTGGCGTTTTTGTTTATGCGCTAGCCGCTCTCGCCCGCTCGCTCTCATTTACTCTCCCGCTCTGTACGTGCCTGTGTTAGTGTGTGCGTTCTTCTTGCCTGTGTATTGTGTCTGTGTGCTTGCGTGCGTGCTGTTTTCGGTGGTTGCTCTTTGAGCTCTTTTTTTTTTTTTTTTGTGTTCAGTCTCATCTGCGTCGCCGCGCTGCCAAACGAAAAAGGACGCTGAAGAACGCTCGCGCAAAACATTTTCGGCGTTGTTCTTTATTATTATTATTTGTATTTTGTTCAATTTAAATGTACAATAAATCGTTCGCAATTGGAATTTTTCAAATTTATCCGCTTGATATGGAATGGAAAAATCGCTTAAAAAGGTAACGACGAAACAGGCAACGGCATAGGCAAACAGCAAAAAGTATTCCCCCTCCACGCACTCAATTTGTATTTTCGTTTTTTTTTCTTTTCTGTGTATTTCGTGTAATTTTCTGAGATTTAAAACTCTGCTTTGTCGCGCTCTCACACAGCTGCATTACATTGTATGTATATGTTTTTGGTGTTCTTTGCTCTTGCAGGTGGCCCTGAATAGCAGCAACGTAGCAACGGAAAGCAATATTAAGAATAAATTGTTAGCTAATTTAAGTGCGGCAAACGCAACAACAGTAGCAGCAGCAGCAGCAGCAGGAACAGCGGCTACAGTAACAACAACAGGAGCAGCAGCAACGACAACGGTAGCCACAAACCAAGCATTGAATTTCAATAACAAAGTGAAGGCAACAACAGCAACGAATAATTTGCAAGGCAACAGTGCGATTAAGAAGCATACGAGTAAGTAGAGCACACAATTACATAAGTATTTGTGTATGTACATGCATATGTATACATACATATATACATGTGCCATGAGCATGTGTGTGTGTGTACATGCCTAGTGCAAAATGCAACTGGAAATCAATTGTGTGCAGGCAGGCACAAAAAATAGAACGAAATTGACGATCAGTGCAAGAGCTTTTGATTGAAATTGACGATTTCGTCAGCCCTCCTGTCAGAGAGGAGCAGCTTTTTTGTTTTTCTTTGTGGTGTGTGTTTAATGCAAAAGTTTTTATTTAAATTTTAATATATTGCACAAGTATGGGCGCTCTTTAAAGCGTCAGCAGCCAGGCTCAGCACGCGCTGCGCTCTCTCTGCAGCTTGAAACGTGTTCCTTCCAGGCTTGAAGAGAGAAAACTGCAGAGAGCAGGCTCTTGAGCTCCTCAAAGAGCGCATTAGCTAACTGAACACACAAGCACTTGGCAATTGTCAAGAGCTGATTTACTTCTTGTTTTTTTTTTTGTTTTTTCTTCCAATCAATTTCCGTTTCTAATCTCTCGCATTCCATTTTGGCTTTCCCCATGCAGAATTGATTGGCGCTAGCAAAACAAACGCCGCAAATACAACGACAACAAACAACTCAACGGCGTCGGCGAGCAGCAGCAGCTCATCTAATTCAAGTGAATCAAAGGATACTAACTTTGAGTACGAGGACGAGTGGAATATTGGCGGCATACCAGAGCTGCTGGACGATCTAGACGCTGACATTGAAAAGTCGGCGGCGCATTCGGGTGGTGGCAACCAAACGACAGCAACACCAGCACCAACAACAGCAGCAACAACAGCGACGACGACGACAACGCTAAATGCTAAACAAGCAAACAGCACAGCAGCAGCAACATCATCATCATCATCATCGACAACAGCTGCAGGAGCAGGAGCAGCTCACAAATCGCACAAGACCACATTGCATAGCAATTTGTCGGCCACATCGCCAACCACAATTAAGTTCACACGCCAGCCCATTGCCAGCGGCAGCGCCAACGCAACGCCAGCAGCGGCAACAGCAACTGGCAGCAGCAGCAGCTCAGCTGTGTTGTCCAACAGTAAAAGTTCGTCCTCCTCGTCCGCGGGCAAGCATCATCATCACCATCACCACCATCATCATCATCATCATAGCACAGCTGGTAAGGGCTACAAATCTGCATTAGTCGCACAATTGACTAGCCCTGGTCTCAATCACAACAACAACAACAACAACAATCAACAGCAGAATAAAAACAGCAGCAACAGCGGCGGTAGCAGCAGCAGCAGCAGCAGCAACAGCGCAGCCAACGCAGGCACAACCGGCAGCACATTGTCATCCTCGACATTTGCCGGCTTCTCCAAAGGCGGCAACTTGGTGTCCTCCTGCGTCAGCCAGTCTTCCTCCACAACAGGCAGCATCAGCAGCGGCGGCAGTGGTCAACAGCAAGCCAAACTTTCCGCTGGCGGCATGTCCTCGCAAACAGGCAGCGGCAGCGGCAGCAACACTAGCAACAACAGCAGCAGCAACAACAACAGTAGCAGCAGCGGCAGCAGCAGCAGCAATAATAACAGCAGCAGCATAAACAGCAACACAATTGGTGGCGCCACAGTTGGTGGGCAAAGTTCGCAAAGCGGCAGCGGTAAATCGAGCGCAAAAATGTCCATTGATCATCAGGCAACGCTCGATAAAGGACTCAAAATGAAGATCAAACGCACCAAGCCTGGCACAAAGAGCTCCGAGGCCAAACACGAAATAGTCAAGGCCACAGATCAACAGCAGCAACAGCAGAACGGTGCATTGGGCAACAGCAGCTCCAACAGCAACAGCCAGCAGGAGGACGGCGGCAGCAGCAGCACCAGCAGCAGCAGCGGCGGCGGCGGTGGCATGAGCAACAGCAGCGGCAGCGGCAATGCGAATCCGTCTTCCTTAAGCAACAACTCGAGCGGCAGCAACAACTCGGGCAGCGGCAACTCTTCCGGCTCTAGCAGCAGCAGCAGCAGCAGCAAAAAGCATCTCAACAATTCCAGCAGCGGCGGCAACAACAACAGCAGCAGCAACAGCGGCGGCGGCGGCACCAATCCAAACAATTCACACGGCAGCAACAGCGGCAGCAGCAGCAGCAACAACAATGCACAGTCAACGCCGCAGGGCAACAAGCGCGGCAGCTCTGGGCATAGGCGCGAGAAGACCAAGGACAAGAACGCACATTCCAATCGCCTCAGCGTGGACAAATCAGCTGCATCGGCAGCTGGCGAAAAGGACACGCCCGAGAAGAACGCCAGCAACAACAATAACAACAGCAGCAACAACAACAACAGCAGCAGCAACAATTGTCAGTGCAACGGCGATGTTGCTGGCGCCGGCTCGGCGCCACCCTGCTCGCATCACGCCTGCATACGACGCATGAGCAACAGCAGCGGCAGCAACAGCTCGAGCGCAACGGCTGTGCCGCCGGGCGTATTCACGCCCTCGGCTGGCTCCCCGGCAGCTGTTGTCTCGGCGGCTGCCTCGCTGCTGGCTGCAACGACGGCGGCAACCAGTGCCTCGCAAGCAGCAACAGGCAATGCTGGCGGCGGCAGCAGCATAAATGCAGGTGCCGCCAATGCGCCTGGGCCGCCGGGCAAGGATGCCAGCATTAAAATCTCCTCACACATTGCCGCACAGCTGGCCGCAGCGGCTGCCTCGAGCGGCAGCAACAGCAGCAACGCCAACAGCAGCAGCAACAGCAACAACAGCAGCAGCTACGCGGGCAGCCAGAGTGGGGCAGCTGCAGCGGGCGGCGCAACGGCAGCTGGTGCGGCGGGCAGCAATGCAGATAGCAAGGCGGCCAGCCTGGCACAGGCCAAACTGATGGCTCCGGGCATGATCTCAGCCACCATGCACCACACGATTTCGGTGCCCGCGGGCAGCGCTGGCACCGGTGGCGCCGGCGATGAGGAGAGCAAATCTCCGCCAGCTAAACGTGCCAAGCATAGCGATAACAGCAAAGATATGGTCGATATATGCATTGGCACATCCGTTGGCACCATCACCGAGCCGGATTGCCTCGGACCCTGCGAGCCGGGCACCTCGGTCACCCTCGAGGGCATCGTTTGGCACGAGACCGAGGGCGGTGTCCTCGTTGTGAATGTTACGTGGCGCGGCAAGACCTATGTGGGCACTCTGCTCGATTGCACCCGACACGATTGGGCTCCTCCAAGGTGAGTAGCTGCCCCTTACCCACATCCTCGAGCTTCGTTTGCTTTCTGCATACTGTTAACGAAAATAAAGATGCCTTTCTAAAACTTATTTCCCGAGATTTTTGTTTCCGTTTCCATCAGGTTTCAATTACATTTTATAGGGTATTTTGGGTCGTAATAGTTTCTAATAATAATAAAGTGAAAAGAATTAGGTTTTAAATTCCAACTCTTTTACTCTCATTTTAATATCTACCTATCTTTCGATATTAAAATTTGTAATTTTTCAATATTAATTGGGGGGTTTTTTTTTTGTTAATTCAGATTTCTTCTTGAGCAAGCTTTACCTTTATTTAATTACCCTGTGTCTTCCCTAAGCAAGCTTTACTGTAACACATTTCCCATTTGTTTTTCTCGTTGTAGATTCTGTGATTCACCAACTGAAGAATTAGATTCTCGAACTCCAAAGGGACGCGGCAAGCGCGGACGCAGCGCAGGTTTAACGCCCGATCTGAGCAACTTTACCGAAACCAGAAGCTCGGTGAGTCGGTTTACAAATCCGTAACTAAAAACTCAGTAAAACGAACTCTCCCTTCTCTCTGACCGGTGCAGATCTACTTCTCGCATGCCCAGGTGCACTCGAAGCTGCGCAATGGCGCCACCAAGGGACGCGGCGCGACACGCAGCGCTTCCGGGAACGCAACAAACAGCAGCAGCAGCTCCTCGGGCAATGGCGGCAGCGGCGGAGGTGGTGGTGGCAATGGTGGTGCCACGCCCAGCACTTCACCCACAGCATTTTTGCCGCCGCGGCCGGAGAAGCGCAAGTCGAAGGATGAGGCGCCCTCGCCACTGAACGGCGATGCCGCCGATGGCGCTGGGGGCATGGTGAGCATGGTGAATGCCAGCGGCATACCCATCTCGGCCAGCGGCGGTGGCCTGGCCACCCAGCCGCAGAGCCTGCTCAATCCAGTGACCGGACTCAATGTGCAAATCAACACAAAGAAATGTAAGACTGCCTCGCCCTGCGCGATCTCACCGGTGCTGCTCGAGTGCCCCGAGCAGGACTGCAGCAAGAAGTACAAGCATGCCAACGGGCTGCGCTATCATCAGTCGCACGCGCACGGCGCCAGCAGCAGTAGCAGCGGCGGCGGCGGTGTTAGCTCCATGGACGAGGATTCCATGCAGGCGCCCGAGGAGCCAGCAACTCCGCCATCCCCGTTGCCAGCAACAGCTGCAACAGCAGCAACAGTTGCAGGTGGTGCAGCGGCAACAGCAGCAGCAGCCACAGCAACCGCAGCAGCAGCACCACCAGCAACTACAGCCGTGTCGCCCGCAGCCAGCTGCGCAGCCTTGGCCAATGGCAGCACATCAGTCCCAACCGCCAAGGCAACGCCTGCTGCTGCGCCAGATTCCAGCAACGCAGCAGCCAACAGTGCAATGAGTACGGCTGCCGGCACAGCAGTGGCGGCCACAGATGTGGCGGCCGCTGTTGCTGCGGCACCCTTGGCCGTGCTGCCGCTGGTGGTTGCGGCGGCAGCAGCGCAACAAGCGCCGCCCGCAACGCCCACCCAGGCGCAACCACAGGCGCTACTGGCGCCAGGCAACATGCCCGGCAATCAGCCAATTGCTGGCGGCAGCATCACCGCCGGCATCTCTACACAGGCGCTGTCCCAGCACCAGCAACAGCTGCTGGGCGGCCTCGTCGGCGCCGGATTGCCGGCCATGCTGTCCGAGCAGCAGCAGCAGGCGCTGCTACAGCAGGGTGCATGTAAGTAGAAACGGGCATCATCTTGGCGTTTGCTCCCTCTGACCAGCATCTCTACCTTTTGATTTCAGTAAAAGCTGGTGTATTGCGCTTTGGCCCACCGGATGCGGCGGCCCTGCAGCAGCAACAGCAGCAGCCACCTGGTGTAAACACACAACAGTCGCCGCCTGGACAAAGTCCACTGCGTCCGCCCAGCCTGGCACAGGATGTACAACAGCCGCCCGCCGGCTATGTGGGACAGCAGCAACAGCAGCCGCCGCCGGGCTTAAAGAGCACGCCCGGATTTGGTTCCGCCTCAGTGGGCGCCGGTAGCAAACCGAAGAAGAACCGCAAGTCGCCCGGTCCGGGCGATTTCGATGGCGGCGTTTCGCGCGAGGATGTGCAGAGTCCAGCGTACAGTGATATATCGGATGACTCCACGCCCGTTGCAGAGCAGGAGCTACTGGACAAGTCGCAGCCGGGCAAGCACATTGAGCTGCTTGCCAAGAAGCCCAGCGAGGTGGGCGTGCCGGCAGCGCCCACGCCCAATATACCACCCTCCCTAGCCGGTTATGGCATGTACCAGTTCTACCCAGCGGCACAGCAACAACAACAGCAGCAACAACAACAGCAACAACAGCAGCAACAACAACAACAGCCGCCGCCGCTGCCACAGCAGCCCCAGCCGCAGTACATGGTGCAACCCGGTCCGGATGCACTGCAGCCGGGTAAACCGTCGCTGCAGCAGCCGGGGGCACCGCCAGCTACCTCACAGACGCCACAGTCGCATCTGCTGGCGCCGCCCACACAGCAGGCCGTTGCCCATCTCGCCGATTACAGCAACAAGAACAAGGAGCCGCCGCTGGATCTGATGACAAAGCCGCCGTCGCAGGCGAGCGTACAGCAGCAGCTGCAGCAACAGCAGCAGCAGCAGCCCGAGAACAATGGCAAGGATACGGGTCCGCCCACATCGCAGCCGACTCAGGTGCAGCCGCCGCCGGTCAATCTCAGCGCTGTGACTGGACCGCCGCCGGGCGCTCTGCCGCCAGGCATAGCCGGTCTGGGCGGACTAACGCCCGCCAAGACCCTGGGTCACTTCTATCCCTACAAGTGAGCTGAACTTTAGAGTTCTGCTGAAGAATTTATAATTAATAAAATTCTTTCCTTTCTTGTTTTTCAGTTTCATGCCGCCGGGCTATCCATACAGCGTGGATCCCAACTTTGGACCCGTTTCAATTGTGGCCTCCGAGGAGGCGGCCAAGCTGGGCGGGCATCCCGGCCTGCAGGCCAGCGCACAGGCGCAGGCACAACAGCAACAACAACAACAGCAGCAGCAACAGCTCTCCGGCATCAGCATTAAGGAGGAACGCATCAAGGAGAGTCCCAGCCCGCATGAGAATCCCAAGCATATGCCGCCACAGCAGCAGGTAAGTGCAGCAAATCGTTGTCTAACAATTGAAACTACTAAAGAGCTTCCTTTTGTAGCTGCTGGCCAACAAGCTGATCAAACAGGAGCCGCTGATCAAGCAGGAGATCAAGCAGGAACCCAACAGCAATATGGGTCAGCAGCCGCCGCCGCCGCAGCATCAGCAACAACAGCAGCAGCAGCCGCCGCCGCAGCCGCAACAACCACACGCTTTGCATCCAAAAGATCTGCAGGCGCTGAGCGCTTATCATCCAAGCATCTATCAACGCCATTCCATGAGCTTGGCGGCAGCGCGCGAGGATGAGCTGCGACGGTAAGCCTTTAATGAATCTTCATTTGATTGTATATGTAATAAACTTTATATGCGGTTCTTTATTCGGCAGCTACTACATGTTCTCGGATCAGCAGCGGCGTCAGAATGCTGCAGCCGTGGCTGCGGCACAGAGTGCATCCGGCATGCAGCCACATCCCGGCATGCCGCCCCAGCATAAGGATGAGTCCAGCCTCAGCGCGCAACAGCAGCAGCAGCAGCAACAACAGCAGCAGCAGCAGCTTTCGCTTGCACAGCATCAGCAGCAGGCGCTGCAGCAGCATCATCAGCATATGCAACAACAACAGCAGCAGCACCAGCAACAACAGCAGCAGCATCAACAGCAGCAGCAGCAGCAACAGCAGCAGCAACAACAGCAGCAGCAGCAGCAGCAGCAGCAACAACAACAACAGCAGCATCAACAACAGCAGCAGCAACAACAACAGAAGCTTAAGCAATCGCAGGCAGCCAGCGCCGCGGCCAATAACAAAGCCACCAACCTGACCAAGGAGTCGCCCAAGCAAAAGGGCGCAAGCAGCTCCGCCGACGATGATCAGCAGCAGCAGCAGCTGAAGGTCAAACAGGAGGGCCAGAAGCCCACCATGGAAACGCAGGGTCCGCCGCCGCCTCCCACTTCACAATATTTTCTGCATCCCTCGTACATTTCGCCTACACCGTTCGGCTTTGATCCCAACCATCCCATGTACCGCAATGTGTTAATGTCTGCCGCCGGGCCGTATAATGCGCCGCCGTATCATTTGCCCATAACGCGCTATCATGCGCCTGAGGATCTGTCGCGCAATACGGGCACCAAGGCGCTGGACGCACTGCATCACGCGGCCAGCCAATATTATACCACGCACAAAATCCATGAGCTAAGCGAACGCGCACTCAAATCTCCAACCAGCGCTAGCGGTCCGGTCAAGGTGAGCGTCAGCAGTCCCAGCCTGGGACCACCGCAGCCCGGTGGCGGGCCTGGCAACAGTGGACCCGGCTCTGGACCCAATGTGCTGGGAGGCAATGGTCCCAATCAGCAGGGCTCAACGCCGGGCGGTGCAGGCGGTGTACCGCTGAATCTGCAACCACCGCCGGGCAGCCTGGGCGGCCCGCCGCCAAATAAACCCGAAATGGCTGGCCAAAAATCACATGGCGCGGCGCCAGGCGGTGCGCTCGATGCGCATAAACAGCCGCTGCCCGGCGCACCGCCCATCGGCGCTGGCCCGGCCGGCAATGGAGCTGTAGGTGTGGTCGGCGGTGCTGGCAATGGCGCTGCTGGTGGTGCCGGTGCCGCCGATTCGCGCAGCCCGCCGCCGCAGCGGCATGTGCACACACACCATCACACACACGTAGGCCTCGGCTATCCCATGTACCCAGCGCCCTATGGAGGTGAGTAGTGAAGGTGGAAAACGGACAGGGTGTTTAAAGCCAGTTGCTCATGATTAATGCTTGCTTTTAGCGGCCGTCTTGGCCAGCCAACAAGCGGCTGCAGTAGCTGTGATAAATCCATTTCCGCCGGGACCGTCAAAATGAGAACCACTGAATGGCAGCAACGAGAAGAAGGCCTACAATGTGAAAAACAACTAGCGGGGAATGGGAACGGGCACGGGTTCGAGCAGGGACACGCGAACGTGAGATGGATCGGAATTGGAATTGGCATCGAAAGGGAATGCGTAACTGGAAGAGGCAGTGGTTGATAAATACCCAATTGCATTTGCTATTAGCCCTGGGCGAGCACACATTAAGCATATATAGCATATATATAATATTTTTACAATGTTACAACAAAAAAAACAACAACAAAACCAACTACAACAACAACAAACAAACAAAAACAGAAATGGAAAAATCGACTATTTATATGCATAAGTATTTTTTGTATGTTTCGTTTAACGTGTTAACTATAAAAATTTAGTTTAAGCCCTAAGTTATCACTACTATTACCAGATAAAAAAAAAAAGAAAAACAAAACAATATATATATATATATGGATATATTCTAGAGTACATACAATATGATAAATATAGCATAACTACAAATTAGCGATGTTTTTCCTAAGTGTATTTTGCATATATATATATATATATAAACACATTATATATATATACATATTATATAAACATAATATAATTATAGTTATATTTATATTATACGAGAGAGGCGTAAATCGAACATGAACAAAAGAAAAACAAATTAACAAAAGAAAAAGCAGAAGCAAATGCGAAACCTGTAGTGTGTTGATTTCTTGTAAAAAACAAAAACAAACAAACAAATTATATAATTAATATTAATGCATATTGTTTAACGATTATTATCGATTACCAATTAACGTTTACACTTTAGCAATTACAAATGTAGCACTTACAATTTAGCATTTAGCAGTGTGTATTAATTAATATCCTTATCTGTGTTGCGAATGGAGCCAGCGCGACATTTGCATCTAAAAGACAAAGGGCGCGCCCATTCTTATATCTTATGTATGTATGTATGTGTGTACTATTCGTATCCGTAGTTTCTCTAATGGGGGGAAATAACATAAAACAAAAAAAAAAAAACAAAAAGAACACGAACAACTTGAAGAAAAACAATTAACATATATACTTTTGTGAACTTTTGGCCCCAGCAGCCGTCACTTATTTATGTTTCCAAGTATCAGATCAGAATATATATATAGTATATATTTATATGCATATATATATTTATATATATATATGTATAAATGTATGTGTATGATATGATGGAATTAATATTAAATATGATATGTGTAATTTACATTTATTAACTATATTATGAATGTAAAATGTGAGGAAAAGGGTGGATCTGTGTGTGTCGTAGTTCACTAGCCGCTTCATCATAGACTACACGCGTGATTTAATGGCACTTAATGTTTTATAGCCTAAGCCCCGACAAAAAAATATTTAAAAATTAAACAAACAAAAAAACAACAACAAGAAGAGAACACAATTCTTTAGAATTTATCAATAAAACAAAGTATTGCATGTAAATATACCTTATAAATCGAGTCTTTTATATATATATGTAAATTAGTTTCGATTCCGTGATTGATTGATTGATTGATTGATTAATGTTTTAAACTTAAGCAACATATGCATGCTGGGCGGGGTCTCACAGAAAATACAGTATATATTTAAAGAATACAATAACTGTGTGTTTGTGTGTTGTGTATGTTAGATTTTCCCCACATTGCATTTTCACTTCCAATTTCGCAATCATCGCAACAAATTAACTCACTGTTTGTAGTGGAATCGGCGTAGCGACACAAAATAACTTAGAATAAACATAAATTATCAGCTTAGTTGATTATAAAATGGTACAAGCGCAGGACTTTTTAACAAATATTTATGTATTTTTAAATATCAACAAAACAAGAGCAAACTTTATGACATTCTAAACAATGAAATTGTATGTTATCAAGACAGCCGGAAACCGGAAACCGTAAGCCGAGGACGAAGCGGAAGCGGACGCGGAAGCGAGATACAACAACAAATGTATAAATGGCATTCAAAACAAATTATTACAAATTATGAAAATAACACATAATTAGTGTATAAGAAATTTCAAAAATATAGTACACATATATAGATATATATAAATATATATATATATATATATATATATATATACATAACAAACAAAATAAGCTTTAGATGTGAATAAAAAATGTATTTAAAAAGTGACAGCTTTTGAATTGACTTGAAATATGCGGACTTCAAGAAAACTTTAATCCAGATCCAGGAGGAGGGATTCATCAACAGATTGGCCCACAAGGATTCTAAGGTAAGCACCAAAAATTGAATTCTAATACCAACTAAATGTTATATAAATGATACATTTATTAGTATGTGTATTAAATTAATATCAATCGTTAAATTATATCCTTTAAATATACATATTTAGTATATATATATATACAATTATGCACTGCCCAGTGGTATTATAAAGCTAATATAGTCTGCAGTCGCGCCCCAAGCAGCCCGATTCGTTTGGAATATAACAATCCAGGTGATCAAGGCGATTGTCCAAAAAAGTGTGCCTATTGCTGAGTAAATCACATCTACATATAAACGGAAACTCATTTGTTATTCCTACAAGAATGTCAATTAATAACTTACAGCGTTTTATTTGACTCTGCTCGGGATATGCCGGTTTGCGAAAAGCTTCCGCAAAGAACCAACAAACATTTATGGCCCAAACAAAGGGTAGAAAAGCGAATCCAGCTAGAAATTGACGAAGTTAGAGAGAGACTTAAGAAAATGGTCTTTCCGCTTACTCAGAAAGTAGGTGCGACAGAGCTGCAGCTTGCGCGGATTTGGTGCCTTCGAGAGGTCCATTGTGGATATTGCCAATGTTTTTTTGTGTGGAATGTGTGTAATGCAAGCGTAGGAGGCGTCAGCTATGTTATCTGCGAGATTTGAAGCGTTTTATTTACGTTTATTATGCGTTTACATGTCAATTTCAATAGTATTGTAGGCTAACAAAAGTGTAGAGCTAGCCAACACTGATTGATAATAGTGCTGCCAGATCGGCATTTAAGGTAATTAATTTGTTTTCAAATTTAAAAGAAAACAAATTCATGAAGCTCATGCTAAATATATATAAAAAAAAATAAAATTATTATAATAAAAGACAGTTATAATAGTATAACGAATAGTCGTAGCTTAGTCAAGCAATCTTTTGTGTGCGAATTTGTGCAAATACATCGATACATCGATACATAATTTTTGCCTATTGCGCATCTCTAAGCAACATCGCAGTGCCGAAAAAAGTGACGCGTAATTGCATGCCATTTTAAACGATTGGAAAAAGCGTGTGAAAAACTTAAATAATGGTCGATGCTGATAATTTAGACAACTTGTCGAATGCCGAACTGCGTGCTCAAATGTTGGCACAGGGATTACCGAATATACCCATCACAGGCAGCGGTCGCACATAATGGGTGAGCTCTATGACAACAGTAAGACATGTCGCGACATGTCGGTAAGCCTTGCGGCCACCTGAGTTTGATACAAATGAATACTCGCAGAAAATGGAGGCATTATGCGCAATGGAGCTGTCGAAGGCACCAAATTCGTGCAAGCTGCAGCCCTGTCGCATTTGATTTATGGGTAAGCACAAAAACCCATTTTATAACCAATTTTTCTAATTAACTCTATCTTCAGCTGGTGTAGCCTTTCTGCATTTTGCTTGGCCCATAAATCAGTATGCATACATATATTATAATAATGTAACCTTGCGCATACTACCGGAGTAGTACCCAGAGACAAATGCTGTAAGTTATACCTTAAACTTTTCAAGAAAATAAACTATTAATTGATTTATTCAATAGGCGCACACATTGGATTTCAACTCATCTCTGTTCTCAGCCAGTCGTTCTTCACATAGTGGCCCTGCTCACTGTCGCATGCTGTGGTGCTCATTTTGATAGTCCCGGCCGTAATGCATTTTGCACCTACTGCAGCCGCTTAGCTACTCCCACCGCTTCTCACTTGCATAGGGCGCTCCGTACATGGATTACCCCGAAGTCGAGCGTATGATAGTATGTGTCGATATGTCGCTGCGGACTACATGGATCGGCGGACCCAGCACCATCATTGGCGACATTGCCGGCACCGCCGGTCACGTCCACAGCCTTGGGCGTACATGGAACATTGGAACAAAGACGTAAATCAGCTTGGCAACAATTTGTACGTACAATTTAATAGCTATTGCCAACCATTTCTCTAAAATATGTTATGGTATACTTTCAGGCAGGCCAATTAAAGCACTGAAGCAATATGCAGCATCAAATCGTTGCATACTTTTGTGGTGTTCGGAAAAGTCTAGCCTTATATTTTCGTTGCATACTTTAGGGCATACCTATTAATTGTCAAATTCAAAATCATTTCATTATTCGCAAGCAGGATCTATGTCAACTTCCAAACAAGTGTATATTATGTATAATACTGTTCTTTGTAATGAGAAACCAATAATAAATAAAAACTGAACGGCTTTTGCCCGTTATCTGTGAAACTACAGGTTATTTGGGCACATAATCATTGCATACTTTTGTGGGGGGTATTTCCATGGCAGGGCACACGCAAACAAAAACCTTCATAGCCCAAAAACCACAAGGACGATTTGGATGTCCTTTGCACGGTTGATAGCCTTTGTCCATACAAATCGTTTGGCATAGGACTTGTCAAGATACGCAAGAACACGGCCGAGTTATGCGCTATTTTTCTTAATAAATAAGTGTCCTTTTTCTCAGCTATTTGAAGGACTTTAGTCCTTTTTGTTGTATGATTTTAATTTGGAGGATAAAGACTACCTTTTGGCTAAAAATCATCCTGATAGTCCTCATAGTTGTCGATATATACTCATTTTTCTTAAAAGGACATTCTATTTATTGTCATAACTCGGCCAAATCCTGAAGGACATCGGAAGGATATAGCTCTCTGAACTCGTAAGAAGCAGATCTATCGATTGGCATTCAAGGATTTCCAGGATTCGACCAAAAAATTTTCTCCAATTTCTGTAAGGGGGTTAGTCAGAAAATCGAAAAATTCAGGACTAACTTTGCCATTTGAAGGACTATCGGGATGTCCTTTGGCCAGTAGATAGTCCTTGTCCTACCATTTACGAATATACAACTCGAAGGACGATAGTCCTTCAAACAGCTGAGAAAAAAGGACTTTTTTGTAAACATAAAATAGGCTATAACTCGGTTATATCCTTACATATCCTGTCGAGTCCTGTGTCAAAAAAATTGTATTGACCAGGGCTACCAACTGGCCAAAGGGCATAAAGATCGTCCTTGTAGTTTCGGAGATATTAAGGATTTTGTGAAATTTGGCCATTTCCTTGCCGCCCGCGAGTGAAAAATGATCAAGTCCCTCTGCGTAAAAACTTCATACGTCCGGCGGACGTATGAAGTTTTTATAGCGGCGGAGATTATGTCGTTTTGAAACGACATATCTCCAGGCGGACGTATGCATTTTTTTTAGCGGCGGAGATTATGTCGTTTTGAAACGACATATCTCCAGGCGGACGTATGAATTTTTTTTAGCGGCGGAGATTATGGAAATGGCCAAATTTCACAAAATCCTTAATATCTCCGAAACTACAAGGACGATCTTTATGCGCTTTGGCCAGTTGGTAGCCCTGGTCAATACAATTTTTTTGACACATGACTCGACAGGATATGTAAGGATATAACCGAGTTATAGCCTATTTTATGTTTACAAAAAAGTCCTTTTTTCTCAGCTGTTTGAAGGACTATCGTCCTTCGAGTTGTATATTCGTAAATGGTAGGACAAGGACTATCTACTGGCCAAAGGACATCCCGATAGTCCTTCAAATGGCAAAGTTAGTCCTGAATTTTTCGATTTTCTGACTAACCCCCTTACAGAAATTGGAGAAAATTTTTTGGTCGAATCCTGGAAATCCTTGAATGCCAATCGATAGATCTGCTTCTTACGAGCTCAGAGAGCTATATCCTTCCGATGTCCTTCAGGATTTGGCCGAGTTATGACAATAAATAGAATGTCCTTTTAAGAAAAATGAGTATATATCGACAACTATGAGGACTATCAGGATGATTTTTAGCCAAAAGGTAGTCTTTATCCTCCAAATTAAAATCATACAACAAAAAGGACTAAAGTCCTTCAAATAGCTGAGAAAAAGGACACTTATTTATTAAGAAAAATAGCGCATAACTCGGCCGTGTTCTTGCGTATCTTGACAAGTCCTATGCCAAACGATTTGTATGGACAAAGGCTATCAACCGTGCAAAGGACATCCAAATCGTCCTTGTGGTTTTTGGGCTATGAAGGTTTTTGTTTGCGTGTGCCCTGCCATGGAAATACCCCCCACAAAAGTATGCAATGATTATGTGCCCAAATAACCTGTAGTTTCACAGATAACGGGCAAAAGCCGTTCAGTTTTTATTTATTATTGGTTTCTCATTACAAAGAACAGTATTATACATAATATACACTTGTTTGGAAGTTGACATAGATCCTGCTTGCGAATAATGAAATGATTTTGAATTTGACAATTAATAGGTATGCCCTAAAGTATGCAACGAAAATATAAGGCTAGACTTTTCCGAACACCACAAAAGTATGCAACGATTTGATGCTGCATATTGCTTCAGTGCTTTAATTGGCCTGCCTGAAAGTATACCATAACATATTTTAGAGAAATGGTTGGCAATAGCTATTAAATTGTACGTACAAATTGTTGCCAAGCTGATTTACGTCTTTGTTCCAATGTTCCATGTACGCCCAAGGCTGTGGACGTGACCGGCGGTGCCGGCAATGTCGCCAATGATGGTGCTGGGTCCGCCGATCCATGTAGTCCGCAGCGACATATCGACACATACTACCATACGCCCGACTTCGGGGTAATCCATGTACGGAGCGCCCTATGCAGGTGAGAAGCGGTGGAGTAAAATGTTTGAATCCATCTTGAACCGGTTGTTCATGGGCTAAGCGCCTGCAGTCGCTGCAAAAATGTGTGCCTGTTGAATAAAACAATTAATAAGATATTTTCATTAAGAGTTTAAGCTATAGCTTACACCGTACTTCTCAGGTACAACTTAGGTAGTTTGCACCAAGTAATATTATTATTATATATACATATTTATGGCCCAAGCAAAATTCATAAAGGCGAAACCCTCTGAAGGTAACTTAATTAGAGAAAGTCGGTAAACAAATGTTTTTTGTGCTTACCCATAAACCACGTGCGAGGGCTTCAGCTTGCGTGTATTTGGCGCCTTCGACAGTTCCATTGCGCATAATGTCTAAGTTTCCTGCGGCAATGTTATATCGTGCGTTTTTAAGTGCGAGAAATAATTGTTATTAAAATTATTTGTGTTTTTTGCGACTTAATATGTCGATTTTAATAGAAGTACTGTGAAGTATACAAAATTGAGAGCTTCTCAACACTGACAACATAGAGTGATGCCAGATCTGTGTAGTCAATGTAATGAAATTGTTTCCAAATTTCAAAAGAATTGATAAATGCTGCACAAAACTATAAATTACTATAAAATATAAATAAACTTATTTGAAGGAATAATTCTACTTTTTGTAGCAAAACCAAGCAAACAGTGGATCCATTTTGTACGCATTCGTACAAATTCATCGATAGTTTTTGCTTATCGCACATCGCTAAGCAACATCGCACCGCGCAAAAAAGTGACGCGCAACAACTTTCAATTTCAACGATTGGTAAAAAGCGTGTGGAAAACTGAAACAATGGCCGACGCTGATAATTTAGACAACTTGTCCAACGCCGAGCTGCGTGCACAGATGCTGGCACAGGGATTACCGAATATACCAGTCACAGACAGCAGTCGCAAAGTTTTAGTAAAACGTTTGCGTGCCTCACTTGGCGGCAACGCCACTTTACCGGCAGCCACTGCCAGCCCTAAGAAGACCAGCACACGCCGCGATACCTTGCAGCCAGCTGCTGCTGCCGCACAGGTGGATAAACTAGATGGCATCCAGGCCGCAACCAAGGCTCGCCGCACCATCGCCTATACGCCCAACGACACCAAAGAGGCCGAACGTCGTCGCCAGCCGGTGAACAAGCCGGAAACTGTGCCGGAGGCGGTTGCAGCAGCCAAACCAGTTGCAGCTGTAGCAACCAAGGCCGCGCCCATACAGTCACGTCGCATCTCTAACTCGGAGCGCCGTGAACAGGTACCCGAGCGGGTGATTCGGAAGCCCGAAACCATTGCAGAGGAGCCAACAGTGCCGAAGAAGCGCAACAATGAGAACACATTGATGGTCAATTCATTGATAATACTGGAGTCGGATGAGGAGGAGGACGAGCAGCTGGCCCAGGCTGCTCGCAATGCTGAGAATCAGTACACACACAATAAACAGGCCGCCCAGCAGCTCAAGTTGAGTGCCACCACAATAAATACTCATGATTATGTACCCAAGTCGCTGTATCCTAACCTGCAGCCCACGCAGGAACAGCAACGTCCCAGACAGATCTATGAGCATGCACCCAGTACCAGCCAGCCGCGCACTACACTGGGCAGCAGCAGCATCAGCAGCAGCCTTGACTATCGTGTTGCAACTGGACGTTACAGCAGCTACGTGAGCCCGCCCGCTCAAAGCTATATAACTGGAGCCTCAAAAGCTGCTGCTGCTGTTGCTACCGCTGCTCCGCTCGGTGCCTCCGGCTTTCAACGCTCGGCACCGAGCACCTTCAGCAATGAATTCAGCGATGATACCGCTGAGGAGGAAGAGGACGCCACACAGGGCGTTCGTTTCGAGAGCGACTTTGCGCGCAATTTGGCCCGACTGCGTGCCGAACGCATTGGGGATCGCAGCAGCTCATACAGACGCACCGTGGCTGGCGGAAGCATTACTGGCGGTCGTCGCTCTCTACGCCCAGAGCACAATTCTTCATCCGCTGCCTTTATGCGCTGGTGGCAGAGCCTGGATCAAAAATACAAGCTCACTTCCAAGCTGTTCATATTGATTGTTGTGCTGCTGCTGTGTGGCGTCTATCGCTTCTTTTACTAGAGATTAAGAGATTTCGGCTGTGCCATAGCAAACGAACGAACAAAAAAAAAGAAATACTTGAATTTGTCAGCACTTTAAAATACTTTAGTTCAGTCTCATTGATTTACCATATTTTTTCTGTTAAATAGCCACAAATTGTTTCGATTAATGTATGTGTACTCTATCTATATATATGTGTGTGTGTGCCGATCAGATTTGGCTGCAACATGTTTCAAATAAAATCAGTTCATGTAATGCTGTCAGGCACTGTGTGTATGTTTTACATGTACCAATAAAACTAAAACCTAAACACGCTGTAACTTAAATATTATAAAGATTTGTCAATGTCGTAACTAGCCAAAGGTATGCAATGCATTTGTGTGTGTCCAACCGAGGACCAACCACATGGGGCAGCAGCTGCCGCAGCCGCTAATGATAGAAAAGTATTTGGAATGCGTGTACAACACTTGTCGGCATCGCTGTGACCAAATGCAGGCGCACACTGGCATACACTCGCATACACACACACACAGCTGCTTGAGCAGATGCCATTGCAGTTGCCGCTGCCGGCAGACATTGAAACACGCAAAGAAATCTTTGTTTTCTTTTTTTCGATAAGAATTAATAAGAATTTCGCAAAGGCAGCCTGGTTCAGAAGGGGGGGTGTTTAGTGGCATCTTTGGGGCGGGTAATTTTATTAACTGGAAATCGCACTTGCGCGTAAATTTTCTTAAGGAAATTATTACCTTATTTAGCTGCAACCGGATCTCCATGCACATGCAATAAGTTATGAAAATTGCAAACAACTAACGCGGCCAGACGGAGACGTAGACCAACCGCCTGTCGCCGATGATGAATTCCACAAATACACGAGCGACATCCAGTTGGCTGGCCGGCTGGCTGGCTGGCTGGTTGTCTGGCAGAGCGGCAGATTCCTTGAAAACAAAGCCAATGCCTAAGCAATATATGTATATATACATATATATATATGTATATATATATATCGTGCGGCTAATAAATGCGACGCTAGTTGCTCTTAATGAAATTAACTTCTAGGAATTACCTACATGGCTGCCCCTGCCCCCTGCTCCGCCTGCCGCCTGAGCTAACCAGAGCTAACCAGCTAAACAATGGCAGCAGCTGCAGCTGCAGTCGGGAACGTCGTCGACGTTTTATGCATTTGCCAGCCATTGGCCATGGAAATTAAATGGAAGCCTGCAAAAAAGGTTTCACGCGATGACTTCACACCATTTGCTCCACGCCAATAATAGAGACGTAGTCGGACGTAGCTGCTGCTCCAGCTGCTGCTGCTGCTGCACCCACCAGTAATGCCGCTCAAGTGTGACATTCATGGAAAACAGAGTGGAATATGATTTTATGGCCTGTCGTTGGTCAGAAATGTCAACGGCTGGACCAACGCCTTTTGTCTGCGTCACGTACCATGCAAAACCGAAGCTGGCAAGCGTTGAGAGCGGAGTTGAACTTGAAGGTGCTTGGTGGCAGTTTCTCCGGCTCCAGCTCTCAGCTCTCGCCAATGACTTCCTCGTTGGGCCAATTAAAGTTGTTGTCGCCGCTGCAGAAATCATTTGTAATGCAACGTTTGGAATAATTCACGCGCAAATTGCTCCACTCGCAAAAATATTGCAACATTCCACAGCAAATTTTACGATTATGCGTTTCGACAGCCAACAACAACAAGAACAACAACGACAACGATGGCGACAAATGCCAGCGCCTGCAACTGGCAACTGGCAACTGGCAACTGACAACTGCAACATTCGTAGGCGCACATCAAATCAAATCAAATTGTTTGCAACGCCGGCCATTGCACCCAGCTTGAGGCCAGACGAGAGCAAGCCATGTTGCATGCCCCATGTGGCAATGCGCAGCACTGCGCCTTGAGCCATGTTGTACATTTAAGTTGGTGCTGCAACCAGCATTCGCCGTGTGGTGTGCTCCAAATCGATAAATCAGCCAGCTAATTGTTCAGCTCGCCAGCGCCGCCAACTCTTGACGAAATGTGAGAATTGAGCCTGCGCAAACGATTTGAACTCTGTCTTTTAAATGCACACCAATCCGCCCCACCATCGCCCCCGAAAATGACGCTATGTGGCAAAGGAATCGCATCACACACACTCACACACATCTAAAACTATTTATGTTAGCTAGTTTCAATAATTTACGAATCTACCGCTAAAGCAGAATATATTTATTTTTAATGTTAAAATTAAGTAGTTGCCAGCATAAGCATAAAATACTTATAGATTTTTCAAAAACATGTCAAAGCACACGAAAATTATGAACAGAAGCTGATTATACACTGTGGCCAAAAGGGAAGTGTGGTATATTGTGTCAGCTAGTCAGTCTATATAAAACCTAAAAAATTGGAATCTATTTAAAGCTCGCACAATTTAAAAACTTTTCTTGAAAGAAAGAAAGCTTGCACACATTTTTTTAATCTGCTAATAAAGTGTCTATAGGGTATCTTGCAGTCGGGATATCTTCACCTAGCAAGTAAATATCAGAAAGTTGTCACGCATTTAAATAGAAACTTTTAAGACTTTCGTAAATTATGGCTTCAAAACACAAATAAATTCGGGATTCACATCAATTCAGATTGGCGTAGAGGTAAAATCAAAATATGCCTAAATTTGCAAAAACTCACGCAAATTTCTATTAATACATGCATATCATAAGTATTATATTGAGTTTCTTTGTAAATGCTCAAGGCGTTAATTCTTTTATTTTGAGAGCGCGTTTTAAATACGGAAACAAAAGCAGCTGCTAGAAGTATTTTTGGCAAATGTTCATAAATTCTATGCTTTGACTAAACCTTATAGAACTGCAATCTATTTAAATAAGATCTGCGGTCATATGTATAAATATATTAAAATTATTTACAAGTAATCAACATAATTAATTGTATTGTATGCCATTTCTGTATGCAAAAGGTCAAAGCTTAAGTGGACAAGGCAATAAGACAGAAGACAGAAGAGTTTGAGTTTAAACAATTTAATTCTATAAATAATGACGGGCTGCCTAAAAACAGACACAACTCGACAGATTTGGCTGCCCACTGTTGCAGGTATTGGCGCACACACACACACACACACACGCACGAACACTTTGGAGTCAAATATTTGAAAATGAGCATGCGAACTGCGCTGACTACTCGTTGTCAACTTGTGGTCCACAGCGACCAATCAGTGTCAGCTGGAAGTGTCTCTTTTAGGGGCCTAAGTGATGAGCTAATCAAGTGGCCGCTGGCTGACCCGGCTCGCGTTCCGAGTTCCGTGGTCCGAGCTCCGAGAGCCCCAAATCACATCTTGTGTCTATTTTAATAACATTATTTATGTGCTTGTATTTCGATTTTTTCTTTTTGTACCTAGTCATTCTATAGGAATCAGTGAGACAAGCGCGAGAGACGATTTTGT